TTGGTCTTACGTATATGTATACAGCTAGAAAAGATGTAATTTGACTTTCTCGAGAAAGAGAAAGAGACTCTGGCTCTTGAGAGCAGAAGTTTCGCGGAGACGAGATTATTTTTCCCTCCTCCGCGCAAGAAGGACGAGGCTCTTCTTCTTCTGTTTCTTCTTTATTGTTCATTGCACTGTGGTACGTGGAATCGCTGCGAGCAGCTGAGGTTTATACGGTGGTTTCAAGAGTTGCAAGTACGTAATTTTAGATAAGACGAGACAACTCGTATCTTTTTTTTTCCGTACTTTTTATTGATCCGTAATTCTTATCCAATCCATTTGATTATTCATTTGTAGTAAAACGTATCATCTATTACAATTCACGTAATAATAGTTGTGGTAGATTATCAAGTGAAGCCAATGAGACAATCGAATGATGTCACAAAATAGTTTTTCAAAGTGTAATCACAGCATACATCATTATCAGGTAAATTTACATGTTTCTTTACTTTTTTTTCTTAATTGTGAGCTTTAATGGTAAAAATTTTGGTTTTTGCGGGTGTACTATAAATTAGCCATCATTATTCTAATTTTGAAATATGGTTCTTTCTTAATTGTTGAATTACTTTGTTTTATAAAAAGATTATAAGACCAAAATGTACATAATTATGGAACGTTTCATAATTAGGTCCCTATTTATAAAATTGAAACAAAAAAAAACATTTAGTTCAATACTTTAAGACAATTAAAACTTTTTCACTTGCATAACACTTATTTATTTAATAAAAATAATTATATCGTTTATTAGTTTACTAGAAGTGTATAAATTTGTATAAGTGTGTGACTTCGTCCCTATTTATGAAATCATCTTGAAAATTGGTCATTTACCGTATGTATAATGAAACTTCTCTTGTGAATTCACAAAGATAAATAAAATATACAACTACCACAATTTTTTTTTCCAGTAAGTTGCATAACAAATCTATGAATCTTCATATTCCAAGAACAGGGACATTAACCTCAAGGAAAAAAGAAGGAAAAAAAAGGCATGATGGATCACAAGTTACCCGATCTCCCCCTCCACATCCTCGCATCAGCGCACATCTGCAGCGAACACTCCGCAGAGCCGAAATAACGAGCCCTACGCGTCCCCAGCAAACATCACTCAAACATTCGTCCTCGAGCATTACGTTACACCCACCTCCGTAGCCTTGCGCTTGATCGGTGGCCCTGCAGCGCGCAAAGAGAGGGACAAGAGAGCCATGGTCCGGCGGTCGAGGAGGAGACGTTGACGTTGAAGCCCCGCTGCCAAGATCAATTTGGCAACGTGCGCGTGACAGCCGAGCGCCGCAAGGCCAATTCGCGCTCGGTAATTAAACTGCGGTCCGAGGTGGAGGAGGGGCCTACACGTGCGCGTCCCTCGGAAACGCCACTCACTCGTTTCTGACCGCCTTCCGGGTTCGCGTGTGGTTGATATTATGGTGATATCATTACGAAATCTCGGATTTGCGATGTAATTTTGCTCCGGAGAAGCTAAGGGATGGGTCTGTTTTCGCTGTCGTGCGGAGAACAAATTTTTTTTTCTTTTCAAGGGGATAGCTTCGTTGTAATCAAAAGAGAGCTATTACCTTACGCACAGCAACATAGATTCATCAGTTGAGACAACTGTCCTTGCTTTGAGCTGATATTTTAGTGGTAGGCTGTGATGGTTTTTGGTTTAAAATTAATTACAATTTTAATTTAAAAGCTAAAATTCCTTAGGCTTATACGTAGCTATTGTTACATTTACCAAAACGTGCCTTTTTGTGTTATTGTTTCATGAAATTCACTTTAATAAAAATAAGGTTGAAAAACTTTAAATAAGGAATAAAGTAGATGTTGTGTGTTGTGAATCATCCCCTTGACAATGAAAAATAGTTGAGGTTTTGGTTAATAAGCTGATCTGAATATTGTACTAGCAAAAAAAAGATGATTGGAGAGACCAACTACGTATTGAGTCAAACAAATGAGAGTCAGACCAAAACAATGAAACGGAACTTTTCAGTTTTCTGCTACACTGTTGGGTAAATCACGGAATGATTTTCCCTCTCACAATTTCAGAAATGCGTGCGAAAACCGTAACAGAATTTCGAAACTCAGACGATTCGTACAATACACACGTCTTCTGTGGTCTCGCAAGGATTGTAACATTAACTCGTACACAAACTACGCAGTGACTCAACCGCGTTTCGCGAAACGTCGTCCACACCCCTAGTTTGCAGAACTACGAATTGCTCGTACAATTTTAAAAATAAAAAATAGAAAAACAAAATTTGAAAGAAGAGATTTTCAGGAATAGTCACAACGTGGAGAAAAAAAAACCCTGTGCAGTGCGCGCTAAATATTTAAAAAGCCCTTTTCCAGCGGCGTCCGGCTGCTGATCAAACTTTGATCGATCACCGCCGCCCCTTCGCTCCTTTGGTAAAAACTTTCCATCCACGACAGAATCGCACTCGCAGCAGCTCTTCCATCACTTTCTTCCGCGTATTTGCGGAGCTGCAGAAAGTTTCGCGCTTCGTTAATAATCGATCGACTCCCTCCCCCCATCCCTTTTTTTCCTTCTATACTGCACCTTTCACTCATACCGAGTTCCACAGTTTATATTTACCCATAAACTTTTGTGCTGCGCGCGGAAAGCGAGTTTCGTCGTTACTTTCTTCCCTTTTTTTTCCCCCGATTGGCGGAAAAACTTAAAATTAAGAGCAGGCGTGGAGCAGAAAATGTGGCGCGTCGTCGTTCATCATGAACTATACGTAACCTTGACAGATGTATGCTGCATTCGCTACGCGACCATCAACGTTCGGGAAGTCTAAATTAGTACTGAAATTTTCATTAACCAACAGCAGGAACTATTATTTTCTTGTTTCCATCCTCAGACACCTGTTTAATCGAGAGAAAAATTACTTCAATACCGAAGCACCTGAGTTGTTTGTTGTTTCATTAATACTCAATAAATAATATTTGCAAATAATGGTACGAATGTTCTAACTGAAAAATACATTTAATAAAATTCATAAAGTTTTATGATAAAATAAACATTTTCTGTTTCAACGGCACTGGAGTTTTTACTTTGACGTTTCCAAATGAATTTTCAAACCAGCATTGGATTTCGTATTGAATTTCCAATGTTTTATTTTTCATGATAAATGATCCGAAAATCTGCAACTTGACAACATCCACGCACCGCTCAACGAATCGGTATGATTTCAATCGCTTCGATTTCCAATCGCTCCAAGTGCCGAGGATTACACAACGATCGCTGCAGCGATTTATTGATGCGAATTATTACATGCAGTGTGTATCGTTACTTATTAATAATATTACCGCTTGTGTACGAAATCACGTGCCCGTAATCGGTTCGCTTAATCTCTCGATACTCGCGCGCGTGAATTTTCAAAAGCATGCACGAAGGGCAAGCTTCGCTCGTTAAGCTTTAAAGCGCGAGCACGTATACATACATTTTGATTAAATTAAATTTTCGATGTGAATCGGAGCCATTTGTGGATAATACGGATTCACGGGGAAGATCAATTTGTTTTTGTTGTTTTTTTATCGCAACCGATGATTTTTAATGTGAATTATAATCCTATCTCTTTTTTGTGTGGAAAGCTTTTTGGCTTTTATGTGATGCGAGATCGAAACGGAGGTAATCAGATTTCAAACAAATGGAAACAAAGATTTTCAACATATAGAGAATGAAATGCTTTATAATAAACTGTAAAAATAATATTTATCAAAGGTTCGTGATACCTACTTAAACGACGAATAAAAAAAATCTGAAAACATCCACACAGCAAAAATTGGATGAATAAACTTTGATGATTGAAAAAAAAAATTATTTAAAAAATATCTTATAGATATAAAAGCCATATCTGCTACGCAGCAATGCCCAGACTGTGATAATTAATTAATTATTTTTTATACAGTTTTTCACTAGAAATGTAACGCTTTATTTGGACTAAAAAGTTTTCTTTCAGATACTACTTACAACACAGTGTTCAACAAAATTTTTCATGAAAAAATCGTGTCTTACAATTTTGAAGGAAAAGTAATTTAGAAAAAAAAGTCAAAGTACTTAAGTTTAAGTATTAAATTGCAAAGACTTTACAATGAGATTTAATATATAAATTTTATTGTACTTATCTGTCAGGAAATTTTCTTTTGTCAATATTGTAATGCAAATAGTGTTTGTTGAGAATTTTTTAGCAAAAAAAGTGAATTTTAGTCAGAAAAGAAAATTATCTTTAAAAGTGTTATAAAATCCATAGAAAATCTTGTCCAAGTTTTGTGATGTCTAAATATTACACAAAAATCTGTGTGAATAAATAATTAGTGTAAAATTATTGTTTTAAGACCTTAGATTACATACATTAAAGACTTTCTTGTAAATGAAATCAAGGAAACGCGTACATAACCTAAAAAAGGCTAAAAGACATATGGCTTTCTTCCACCCCCCACCAACACTATAAGAAACCAGCACTACTGCACCTAACCTAAAAATCAAAGCCTTTGTCCACAAGCTACTGACTCTCCCCTTTCCCCCATAACACATCTTATTTTCAGATTAATATTCAAACGAAAGCATTGTTCATGAGTAAATACATGAAATTTGCGTTTCAATGGGAAAAGATGGATGGATTTGTGACCCTCGTTGCGTTGGTTAGTACCTTTTCAAGCGGAGCAGATAAGACGGCGATGACAAGCTCACAATTATACCAAGAAATAGGAGATTTTTAACGACTGTATCGCAAATCGAGTGATGCTGAGCAGATCAAGTTTTACTCGGTAGAAAGTCGTAAATTTTCGTTGTATGCGTCACAAACTTTTCAAATGGCAGTGCTTCGGAAGATAAGACAATCGATGAGAGACAAAAATACGGAAACTAGTTGGCTATTCATAAATTAAAGCTGATTGTTTTTAAGTCATCGAAATGTATAAGATGCTCGTGAAAAGCGAGATTTTCAGCAGTATCAAGCGAGAAAGTGTAGTTTTTCAATCTTAGAGATCATGAGGACCTTCGTACTCTTGGTCGTTCTGGCGATCTGTGTGACTGAAGTTTTCCCTGTAAGTTCTTTTTTTTTGGGGGTTATGTTTTGTACAGATAGCTATACAAAAATTTTGACGATTAACATTTCTACAGAGTACTCTCAATGAACAGCAGAAGGAGAAATTGCTTCAGATAAGGAACGTGTGTCTTTACGAGTCTGGCGTCAACCAATGTAAAAAATAAGTTAGGAATCAATCGATGGTTCACGAGAATTTTAGTGTAAATAACTTTTTTCTTTGCAGTTGACATATTTTTGGCAAAAAAGGCCATTGGACCGGTCAAAAAACTGGTGCGAGCTTCTCACTGCGTCGCACAAGGATTGATCGTAGGACTTTATTTGAAAATTAATATCAAATTTAATATGAAAATAAAAATAAATTTTACGTCGTTTTGTAGGAACAACAAGATGATCCAATCATTAAAGAACTGATCTTACTCGTTCAGCAAACCATACAGAACTCGAGTTTGTCGCAAATGATTGCTCAAGCTGCCCAACTTTGTGGAAAATTACGTAAGACGATTGGATTTTTTTTCTACATCATACAGCTGTTGACTAAAGGAAAACATATATTTATACACATTCCATTGTTTTCAGTCGGAGGAGAGGTTTGTGGAAAGTTGCATGAGCTGGTCGAGCTGGTCATCAAAAACGTCCGAAGTGTTTAAGTAGCATAAAAAGAGAAGTTATGAAAATTATAAGTTAGTAAGAGTTTGATGAACAAATATGAGCCAAAATAAACAAAATCTTTATATTTATGACTCTTCCATTTGTTATTTTAATTAATGAAATTTGATGTGTTGAAACTACATTTTTCAATATATTCTACTTTAAATATTTTTGAAAATTTTTAAGTATATATGTGAGAAAAGGTGGATTAAGAAAATTATCTTAAAGTTTTCTAAAAATAAAAACAATTTTTTCTTATTTTATTATTATAAATCAAAAATTATTTTTTTCGTTGAAAAGTCTTGTAAAATTCGCAAATAGAATAAAAATAAATCTTCACCGTAAATAAAAATCTTGGAAGTTTATTTCCATCTTTAGAGTTCCAGCAAAACTCTCCCAATCATCCCTTCTCAGTACCCCAAGGTCATTCGTTGATACCCCTTATGTATCTCCACGAAACCAAAAACATAAAAATAAGACTCTGAAAATCAAATAAAAAAGTCATCACCTCGATCGCAACGAGTAAAACAAGCCGAAAAGCCCCGCACTCGACGTAACAGCAGCAGCAACAAGCTTTCCTCTTCTTCCCGCGAAAACAGAAAACCCCCCCGCCCCGAGTTCTCAAATTAAGCGGCAATTTAATTTTCACCCGTAAATCGACCCTCTTCCCTTCCACTCCAGCCCGTCAAGATCGGCACACTCCGGCCTCCCCCGAGTCATCTCTTCCTCTTTCTTCCGAAAATAAAGCCTCCGAGAGCTCGAAATTCATTTCGCGGCAGTCACTGCTGCTGCGGCAAGGGAGGCGGCAATAAACGTCAGGACGCCAGCGTCGGTAATTAAAACTAAAGATCCAGGGCCGCCTCGAGGAACGAAAAACAACAGTTGGCGCTTAAGAGGAGCCGGGCGGGCGAGAGTAAGGGAGGGGGGGGGGTGAGACTAGCTGTTACTACAACTGCCGGCGCTATTGGAAAATGCGAGCGGAGAGAAAAGGTGGGGGAAAATAAGTGAAGGGAGCCGGGGAATAGTTTGGATGTGGAAATTGAAGGGGAACGAGTGTACCTTGGAGCGAATAATAGTTTTTGGGTGTATGAAAAGGGATTAGAGACAACGTTATGTTAATACTTACGACGTGAATTTGTTGGTCGAATTATCGGGTAAAGCATTTACAAGGACTTCTTAAGACTCGAACAGTTTTTTCGTGATTTTAATTACTGTTATGAGACTGTAAAATGTCTCGAAAGTATGAGTTCGACTTCCGATGACTCCAAATGATTTTTGAGGATTTCAAAGTCTTTGCAAGATTTCAAGCGACTCTTTGTAATTCTGAAATCATTTGAAAGTCTTTTTTGACTAAATTTGAGATTGTGCAGTCTCTTGAACACATGATGAACCACTGAGAAAAGTATAGAAGCAAAGAATATTGATAAATCAGAGGGAGATTATATTTTGTTCAATGTATTCAATGGGCTATAAGGTTCAAACCGAGGGGCTGCGCACCCTTTGAGTTATTTAAAAAGATGATTAAAAAGTCATTCTAAGTCTTTTAAAGATTTCAAAAGTCTCCAAAGAACTTCAGACTTTTTACCGGGACTTTAAGAGTACATATAGCTTGGAGTCATTAAAGAAGGCTTCATAAAGCATTCTAAGTCTTTCAAAGATTTTAAAAGTATCCAAAAAACTTTAAGTCTTCTTACCAGGACTTCAAGAGTGCATACAGCTCAAAGCCATTAAAAAAGACTTCATAAAGCATTCTAAGTCTTTCAAAGATTTCAAAAGTATCCAAAAAACTTTAGACTTTTTACGAGGACTTCAAGAGTGTATATAGCTCAAAGTCTGTAAAAAAGACTCCAAGTCATTAAAAAAGGCTTCATAAGTCATTCTAAGTCCCTGAAAGACTTCAGGAGTCTCAAAAAGACTTCAGACTTTTTACTGTGACTTAAAAAGTGCATATAGCTCAAAGCCGTTAAAAAAGACTCCAAATCATTAAAAAAGACTTCATAAAACATTCTTAGTCTTTCAAAGATTTCAAAAGTCTCCAAAAGACTTCGGAGTGCGCAGCCCTTTGGTTCAAACCGTACGTGGCCAGTTTTTGGTTAACATGATTGTATAATTTTTAGTAATGTGATTACATGTAAATTTTGTTGTTTTGTGTGCCACAGTTTTGTGACCGAGAAAGAGACAAGGAATTCAGATCGTCTAGATCAACGTATTGAAATCAAAGGGGTGAACGAGAAAAAGGGAGTCAGGAGTCGGGAAAACTTTTTTTGCGTAACGAGTAAAGATGCGACGGAGAGTCATCCAAGGAAGCCCGGTCCAGGAAGTGTAAATGAGAGGAGATCCTGATATTGACCTGCTTTGCTTTTGTGATCGAATGATCGTCAAGCTCCTGATGATTTTAGTTAGAAAAGAGATCCCAAAGCATCGTCGTGCTCCGCATAATGAGAAAATCTCAGTTAAAAGACGGAATCTTTCCACGTGGGCCTTGAGAATCTAATAACCTTCGGCCCAAATGAGCTTGACAAAAGTGAGCGCGTGCGCGTTCTCACGTAACACCATTAGTCGCGCGGATTTTGCCTCGAGAATTCGGGAGTCACCTTTGCTTCAAACTTTCTCGACGATCTCGATGCGTACACGCACGGATGCCGTACAGTTTTGCGTGTGTATTTGTGCATAAGAAAAACACGCCCAAGCTAGTGAGAATTTATGTGCGACAAGCCACCCTCCCCCCACCTACGCCGCTCGGAGGAAAGTTTTTCGAGGAGCACGAAATAACTTCACCAGTTGGGAGGACCCTTCCTCCCTCGGGTGTGTATACGCGTGCTCTTTCTTCTCCTTTCTGCAGGTTTTTTTTTTTTTTTTTTTTTTTTTTCATGCCTCGCCTTACTTTTACGCCTCTCCGCGCGCGCGTCTAATATTGCAGTTCAGTCCGCTCGCTTGACGCGAATGAAATTTTGATGAGCTGTACTGCTGCTACGCGGACGTTTTAGTGTGCTGAAGTATGAGGAATGTTTCTCCCCCACCCCCGCTATTTTTTTTTTCTCTTTATTTCCGTGTCGCTTTCGTGAATGCAATTTTTAAGCACGGAAATGAATGTTGTCGACGGGGAAAAAGGTATCATACGAAAGTTCGGTTTTTCATGAATATGTTTTTTTTTTATTATCAACGATTTACAGAATCGAAGTTCAAAACGAGCAAAGAGAAGAGTGGGAATACGATATGAAATTCCAAGGGTGTGCTCGCGCCCTTTCTTCTTCGCTATTCTTTTTTTGTTTGTCTTTTGAGGGTACTCTTAACGATTCTTTTCTTTTCTCCTCCAGGGAGGAAAACACACGCAAGGCTAAAAGCCCACTCGCGCGAAATCATCCCGAATTGCATTATTATGCGAGCGGGGGCCTTTTCCTTCCTTTACACCCTCAAAGATTAACAAAAACTCGTTCCGCCCCCTGCCAGATCCTTCTTCCCTTCTTTCTCGCGCGTCTGTCCGACTCAACTCGGATCTGTACTACTGAACAACTACCGCACTTGAATGTACATCTTTTTTTCTCCCAATTTCCTTTTCAATGTCTTGTTTTTATTTGCTTTCACGGTGGGTAACGAAGGTTTCGTGCTCAAGAGGCGACATTTAGTGTAAGTACACTCAAGGTACCGTCATGTTTTTTAAAATCTGTTGGTTAGAAGTAATGGACTTTTTGTTCATCTAACGACATAAATGCAGGATGTGACTTTGGTACTTGGACAAGAAAACTATCTATTCTTCGAATGGCAACGTAAAATTTTTTTACATCTTTACAGATTGGTGCTAAAAAACAAAGCCCAAAGAAAGCATTTTGTATTGGAAGATCTTAAGATTCACATGATTTTAGGAATGTTAAAAAATTATTATTTAGGAGGTAGTACTTATACTATTTTAATTGAAAACTAAAAAAAAAAAAAATTTACCTGGAGACTTTTTAAAGATACTTTTAGTGATTATTATTTATTTTTAACGACCCAAATTCCTAATCTTGAGTTGATAGAAAATAAAATTTTCTATATATTAACATAAAATCATGAAAATAGTTGATCCTAAGTTAAGTACAACAAAGGATTCTTTTTTGATATAAAAATTCCTTAAAATATCTCATAATTTCATGATTCAAGAATATCCTACATCTTTGTTAACAAACATTTTGAAGACATAACGTTTGTTTTCCGCGACTTTGTTAAAATAATTCTCTTTATTTTTTTTTTTTATAACAGTGCTTACAGAGACATTATTAAAAAAATTCTCTAAATCTTAATCCTTAGCAAGAAAATAAGTGTCGATTCTCACAAACGATTTATTTTTACCTTTCGACGTAGTCACTAATAACCAAATCTGATTATCCAACCCTAAAAAAAAGCACCAAACGCCCAACGCGGAGGAATAACAGAATCCCACGAAAACGTCGTGTAGGACCTCTAAAGCAACATTTACCCCCGATCCACCGTCTGAAACATTAATACTCCACCGCGGCTGTAGCTCGACGTCATAATATTTTCATTCAAATCGAGCCAAGTGCGTAGACGGGAGCTCTGGCAAGAAGTGCCGCACATAAGTTTTCAAGGGAGGAAAAGGAGCGGGGGACTAATGAAAAGGAGCCCAGGAGCATCAGTGAAGGCTCTCGTCTCGTCCTAATCTACATGTGACCAATATTGCCTTACAGGAGGAAACGAATCCCTCACTGAATATTTAAGACAGCGATGCAGTGGCTTCTCTTGGGTTTTCACATGTAAATGCGATGCCGAAGGAGCACAGAGTGGGCGCGGAGGGTGGCGAGAGCGTGGGAGTGTCTCTATAGTGTGAGAGAGAGCTTTTTTTTTTTTTGTTAAGTGAAGAAGAGTAGGGCTTTTAGCGTTTTTGCAAAGGCCTGAGGAACGGCATCAGGAGACTTTTTGATGGTTGACCTTTGAAGGCTTAAAATACTCGTGATCCATTGGCAGTGATTCAAACAGAGTCAGGTGAGTCGTTGTTTTGGTTAAAAGTTGGTAACGAGAAAAAAATTTTTTTTTATTTTATGCATAAAACCAATTTTTTTATAGCAAAAACTTTTTTTACCTTGTTTTTGAAACATTATCTTCAACGATTTATGTTGTTTTGAGGGTATTATTTTTAGTAATATTTGAAGATTAGAATAAACAAAAACAAATTTGACTCTCAGAATGAAACGTTTCTTGGTTTATTTCATAAAAGACATAGTAATATGAAAAAATCTTCATATTTTCATAAAAGAGA